AATACACTGTTGATGGGAATGTAAAATGGTACAACCAGTTTGGAAATCGATTTGGCGCTTCCTTCAAAAGCTAGAAATAGATGTACCATATGATCCAGCTATCCCACTCCTTGCATATATCCTAGAGAAATACGAGCCATCACACGAATAAACATACGCACACCCATGTTGACTGCAGCACTGTTCACAATAGCAAAAAGATGGAAACAACCTAGGTGTCCATCAACGGATGAATGGATAAACAAATTATGGTATAGCCACACAATGGAATAGTATGCCACAGTAAAGAATAACAATGAATCCATGAAACATCTTATAACATGGAGCAAGCTGGAGGTCATTATGCTGAGTGAATTTAGTCACAGAAGGACAAATATTGTATAAGACCACTATTATAAGAATTCAGGAAAAGGCTGAAACACAGACGAAGACATTCGTTGATGGTTACGAGGGTCGGGAGGGAGGATGAGGGTTATTTACTAACCAGATATTAGATAAGAATTATCTTAGGTGAAGGGAAGGAAAGCACACACTACAGGGGAAGTCAGTACAACTGGACTAAACCAAAGCTAAGAAGTTTCCTGAATACAATCAAACACTTTCAGGGACAGAGTAGCAGGTTTAGGGGTCTGGGGACCATGCTGTCAGGGGACATCTAGGTCAACTGGCATAACAAAGCTTATTAAGAAAATGTTCTGCATCCTCCTTTGGTGATTGGCATCTGGGGTCTTAAGGGCTTGCAGTCTGCCATCTAAGATGCATCAATCGGTCCCAAACACCTCGAGTAAAGGAGAATGAAGAACACCAAAGACACAAGGAAAGTATTAGCCCAAGAGACAGAAAGGGCCACATAAACCAGAGATTTCATCAGCCTGAGACCAGAAGAACTGGATGGTGCCCGACTACCACCAAGGACCACCCTGACAGGGAACACAACAGAGAGTCCCTGATGGAGCAGGAGAATGGTGGGGTGCAGAACTCAAATTCTAGTAAGAAGACCAGACTTAATGGTCTGGCTGAGACTGGAGGAACCCCGGAAAGCATGGCCCCTGGATTCTCTATCAGCCCGGAACTAAAACGATTTCCAAGGCCAGGTCTTCACACAGAGATTGGACTGGACTTTGGGGCATAAAGTAATACTCGTGAGGAGTGTGCCTCTTAGCTCAAGGAGATACAAGAGACAATGGGCAGCTTCTGTCTGGAGGTGAGATGGAAAGGCAGAGAGGGTTAGAAGCTGGTTGAATGGACATGAGGAATCAGGGGTGGAAAGGAGGAGTGTGCTGTCACAGTATGGGGAGAGCAATTAGAGTCATATAACTATGTATAAATTTTTGTATGGGAAAAAATAAAAAATAATAAAATAAAAAAAAAGAAAGGAGTAAGGGAGGCATGATAAAGCTAACATGGTAAAATGTTAATATTTTAGGAATCTGAGTGAATGGTGTACAGGAATTATTTATAGTATTTTTGCAATTCTTAAAGTCCAAAATTATTGCAATATCAAAAGTTTAAGGAAAAAAACACAAATCTTTCTGGCTGCTCACTGAACTGGAATGATGTAAAAAACTAGAATTCCTTACAAGACTCTTTATGAACTGGCCCCTTCTTAATTAAACAGTCTCATCTCACATCACTCTTTAGCCCCACCAAACACACTCAAGCTGCTCTAAACTGCTGTTCCTAAAAAACTCTACCCTCTTTGCACATGGAGAAACTTAAAACTTCAACTTGAGTGAAAGATTTCCAAAAGGAAAGCAATGGCAAGTCTGTGATTGAGAGTTTTATTCATATGCATGCCTTAGAAGAAAGTATTCCAATTCTATTGAAAAAAATTAGTAGCCCTAAACAAAAGGAAGTCTAATCAATCCCTGAGGTTCACAAAACACAAATCAAAAAGCCTGTCTCCAAAAACCCACACCCAACCCTAGCAGTGTCTGTACTGGCAATAGCTCCTGTATCTGTTGTCAGCTATTAGTAACACTGGAACCAAACACAAATACCAAGGAAAAAAACCACTGCCGCTGAGCTGATTCCAACTCACAGCAACCCTAAAGGGCAGAGTAGAACTGCCCTATAGGGTGTCCTAGGCTGTAATCTTTACGAAAGCAGACTGCCACATCTTTCTTCCATGGAGACATTGGTGGGTTTGAACCACAGCCAATCTTTCAGTTAGCAGCCAAGCACTTAGCCACTGCACCACCAGGTCTCCTGAAAGGCAAGTAAACAAAACCCAAACCTGTTGCCTCGACTCGATTCTGACTCATATCAACCCTACACGACAAGTAGAAATTCCCCACAGGTTTTCCAAGGAGCGGCCAGTGGATTCAAACTGCTGACCTTTTGATTAGCAACCGAGCTCTTAACCAGTGTACCACCAGGGTGCCAAAGACAAGTAAGGGGGTGAGTTTATCCCTATATCTCACTGTAGTAGAGGACAGATAGATTTCTGGCATACCTACTTGGAACTGAGTGTGTTACCATACACAGATAGTCCTTGACTTACAACATATTCAAGTTGTGACTAACTGCACTTACAACCATTGGTGTATCTGAAAAATTGCATCTTCCTGGGAGAAAGTTACAGGAAAATGCATGCAGGGGATATGGAAAAAAATGCTCAGTTATGTGGACACGCTTCAAGCATTTGTTCAGGATAATATGACGGAAGAGATGGGTGGAAAAGTTGTTCATATTCAAGAACACTGAATTTAGAACTGGATATCACCAATGTGGAAAAGCTCACAAATCACAGATAGATTAGGACTTAAAGGCGTTTGAAGAGGAAAGAAACGCCGAAGAAGAAATAATGAGGAGGAGGAAGGAGAGAAGTTGTCAAAGAAATTTACAGCAAAGTATTATCTGGAGTTTTTTCTAAACTTAAATCCAGGGCTTCAGTTGCTTGAAAACATAGACCCAAATACCGATCACTTTGCGAAAGCTGATAGGCAGATTCAACAAGCAGTGAGAAGTTACCGCAAAATAATTGAAGAAAAAAAGAAAAGGACCATACAGACAACTCTTACTAATTTTCTGACTAGAAACGCCACCCCCATTCCCAGGGATGATTCAGGCTGTGGGACATAAAGTGATACTCGTGAGGAATGTGCTTCTTATCTCAAGTAGATACATGAGACTAAATGGGCAGCTCCTGTCCAGAGGCGAGATGAGGAGGCAGAGACAGGCAGGAGCTGGTTGAATGGACACGGGAAATCCGGGGTAGAAAGGAGTGTGCTGTCACTATACAAGGAGAGCAACTAGGGGTCAAACGGCAATGTGTGTATAAATTTTTGTATGAGAACTGACTTGAATTGTAAACTTTCACTTAAAGCCCAATTAAAAGAAAAAAGCTTGACAACAACAAAAAAATGCTACTAAACTTATATATGCTAAAAGTAAAATTTAAATACTATTTACACCCTAATGAAAATACCAACTTCTAAAATTTGAAGCTAAACAAGTTTGACTAACTAAATATAATATTTTTAAACTCAGTATTCAACAACCAGAAAAAAACCTCTTAAAATGCAAAACCTAATTCACTTCTAAAGCAAAAAAATATACATTTTTATTAATAAATACAGTCATCAGCACTAAACTTAACACTGTACTACATTTAATAATTTGCCTTCAAATAACATGCCAGAGAAGTTACCAAAAATAAATACCATCATTCATTGAACATCTCTTTAAAAAAAGACAAAGTTCATGAAATGGCAGAAGACCATCAATGGTGAGACTTCCCTCTTTACAATTTATAATGATCCCTAAGAATCCCTACTTCACGGTTTCAAAAGTTTAAATACAATCTCATGGTGCTTTTTGCTAAAAGTGCTAACTAACCCAATTTGCCATTTTCCCACCCATAAACCAAACATAAACCATAGACAGTAAGACAGAACTCTACTACTGTTGCTTTATCACAGAACCACTTCGTTAAAGAAATCAAGATAAGTATATATGCTTGATGCCAAAGATCTATTAAAAATCAAATTAACCTAACAAGAGCTCTAAATTAGAACAGGAAAATTATTATTTCACTCATAATCATATACTTCATCTCAAAACTGTGTTTTTAAAATGTTCACCTTGATAAATAGGCATAAGCATACATTAAAAATGACAATGTTTTAGAATAACTATACTTTAGCATTTTAGTCACCTTCCCAAATCCCAAGTATTCACAAAAGTAAAAATGTTAGGTGATCTTGTTTTTAAACCCAATCTGCAGAAATATTTTCAAAACTAGTTTATAACAACTGTTTAAGAATAACATTCTTGTTTATTTGAACATATTCTTTGTATCCTTGCCTCTTCAAAAACACTTCACAGTAGTATCCTTCTCCTACACTGGCAATATGTTGTTAAGGAATGATAAAACTACAAGTCTACAGTACTTACTTTTAGCCTACTAAAAATTAATCATATTCCTTAAAGTAAGTAAAAACATAAGCAGAAAACAAGTCAGAAGAAGACAGATTAGTATTTAGGCAAGCTTTTAATGTTTTAATTAAAAGAAAATATTCTCAACAAATGGTGTGACATTTTCCTGTTAGAAAAAATAAATCATTGGCACTACTGAAAAAAATTGTGAAGAATAAATAGAACTTCAAAACTGTTCTATTATAAAGGACAAAGCTGATGAGATATTTACTTAGATGTGAAGTAACTGATTAACAATATATAGCAACAAACTATTAGAGCTGCTGAAGTCACCTAAAATTTCACAAGATGACCATAGTTAACACATGCAAAAAATCTCTCTCATGCTTTCAAGAAAGTTGTATTTCAAATTTTCAGTTGAAATGGGCAGAACAATATTCACAAATATGGCATTTTTTAAAAACTTACTCCTTGACTCAATACTCTTACAATATAAAGTCAGAACTTTTCTATATTTCAATGTGTCCATTCACCTACCAAGAATTAAATTTTCACTAAAAAAAGAAAAAATATATATTAAGTAGATGTGCTACATATTTAGCAACAACAAATCCACTTACTTTTTTCTCTTTCTCATGATGTTTATCCTGAGAGTGAGAGGAAGAATCACTTAAACTTTGATCATATGACCTATTAGATCCCCGTTTGCTCTTTTTCTAAAAAAGAAAATATATATACATATATATATATGTATATAAAATTTGTTTAAAGAATCTTTTTGTTAGGCTTAAACCAATTTAAGTGTGAAGTATTTTTAAAAAGTTTACTAAAGGAAAAAAAAGTCTCACTATTTCAGTCTATATAATCTAGTTTAGATAACATTCAAATATTGTCCAATGCATCCAATTATAAAGGAAAATCTAAGCCTAAATTTAACATTAATGCCATATTTTTGTACATTTACTAAAATGTGTGAAAACAGATTTTCTATTTTCAAATAAGCTACTATGTAGTTTCAATGTCTGCTTTAAATTTAAAAAATAATAATAAAAAGCTTTGACCAAAAGAGAACGCTATCTTGAAGAAGGATGCCAAGACTAGAAGAATAGAAAAATATTCGAAGAGTTACTTCATGCCACTAGGAAAAGCAACAAGCCTTTTAATCTCTTAGTATTAAATGCACACAGTTTTCTAAAAACTGGTCTCTATGCAGTTCATTAAGAAAAAAATTAAAAGTGTCAGTAATAGACCCATGCATTTTACAAAGCATTACTAAAAGCATTATACGTTTGTGTTTAAAATCCTCACGCTACTGAATAATAAAAGTATGAAGACAAGAGTATTTGGAGTGCTTAAAATCTGGTGGTACATAACTAACTGATATAAACTAGACAAAAATTACTACAAAAGATGCTCAAATTAAAATGCAAATGTAGAGTTTACACAATCCTATTATCAGATTTTTTTGCCCAAACTAGCAAATGCGTAACAGCACGTCAATAACTAGCAATGAGAAAGTTCTATTTGCACAAACTTGAAAATCCATTTTATTATTTCTCTATTTTATCTGCATCACCTCTCATTTATAAAATGAACATTCAGAAATGCTTTTAACATCCAGGCCACAAAACGTTCAGTTTTAAAAATCTCAAAACTTCTCTGAAAACACTTCAATACTCTTTGTCAGTCATTAAAATAAGTCAAAGCCTTCAGAAAATATACATACTCTTTTAAGTATTTCATATGCAGGAACCAGAATGCTGGAGGCACTAGCTGCTTCTTTCATGAGAAAGGGGCCTCTAATGATATTACTTACTTAAAAAGAAAAAAAAAAAAAAAAGGGAGGGGAAGTGGGGAGAGAGGAAAGGAAGAGGGATGCAGGCAGGTCCATTCATAATAAAAAGGTAACAATAAAAAAAAAATAAGACTCTCAAAACAAAAAACAAAAAAAAAAAAAACAAAGAAGTCTTAAACCTTCTGTATACAAATCCATAAGGTTAAAGACTGAGGAACAGACACTTGGGACATTAAAATATTGATTATTCAAAGGAACATGGACACAAATATGTAACAGTCAATCAAATGTTACTAACTCAATCATTCATGCTACTGTGTGACAGCAAAGATTGACCAAATTGAAAAAAAAATTCCCAAAGCTAATTTTTAAAAGGTTTTCTCAACGTCTTTAACCACGTTACAAAATAGCCTTATTTCAGTTTTACTATTTCACAGTAAATAAAAATAAATGAAAAATAAAATTTATAATAATATTGAAGCAAAAAAATAAGATAAACAAGTGACAATCACAAAATGTATACTCAAATGTCAAAAATCAAAGTAACTGAAAATAATGTTGAAGTATAAAGAATTCTTTCCAAATCCATTTTGTTTCACTGAAAGTATACCAATACACACTATTTACTATAAACTGTTAAACATATATTGTAAATTAGAATATCTTAGAATACTCACTTTACAAATGAACCCAAGGAAAGCAACATCTTATTAAGTTACTAGATCCTTTAATTTCTAATGAAGAGCTCACTAAGCAAATTTAATCTCAAGGGAAAAAGGAATTATTATTTTGCCTTTTTATAAAACAAGATCACTCTACTGTAAAAACTAATTATTATAATTTTCATATTTAAATTCAAGACAAATTCTTACCAGTTTACTAAAATGGTATTTACAATAGCCACAGTACTGGACGTTATCTGCACCATTACCTTCTTCTTCACAAAGTAGTCCAGCAAACTGAGCACTAAAAATAAAAGCCAAGTATAGCAATAAAAATTCAAACCCCAGTATATATAAACAAATAAAATCTACTTCCAAGCATATCGGATATGTAATAAAATGTATCCCCTAGGACAAAAAGGAAATATGAAAAGCTGTAGTCAAATACATTTCACCCCAGCCTGCACCTGATATTTTTTAAAGTTATATTTATGGTTTAAAACGAACTCTTCAACCATCTTTATCAAGGATAAATAATTGCTATGCGTGTTTTGTGTCACCAAATAGACTTAAGTTTCTTTAAGATGAGAAGCTCTGGTGGCGCAGTAGTTAAGCACTCAGCTGCTAACCTAAAGGTCAGCAATTCAAACCCACCAGCTGCTCCACAGGAGAAAGATGTGGCTAGTCTGCTTCCATAAAGGTTACAGCCTTGGAAACCCTATGGGGCAGAGTTCTGTTCTGTCCTATAGGGTTGCTATGAGTTGGAACTGACTTGGCAGCAAGGCATTCTTTAAGGAAAATTCTTCCCCCTCCCACCCCTGCCAACAATTAACGATTTTACTTTTGCAATCTATTTCACAGGTAAGATAGAAAGACCATGCCTCTAAAGGGATAAAATGACATGATATTTAATCCATGAATGCAGATTACACAGTGGTGAAAGGAAAAGTTCATTCACCCAGGACTAATTTTGCAACTCTAAATGCTTCAAGTTAGAATACAGTAGGCATTTTCTTTCACTATAAGTATACCAATATACACTATTTACTATGAACTGTTAAGTATATATTTTAAATTACACTATCTTAGAATATTCACTTTACAAATGAACCCAAGGAAAGCAACATCTTTTTAAGTTACTTTTCAGTGAAAAACAATGGAAGAAATAGAACTGAAATTTAATGTTACGATATTTATATTTTAAAAAAGCACTAAAGTTTAAAATCATCATCTTATGAACTTGACCTTTCACTTTTAACATTTCAAAAATACAGAATTAGTATATACCCATACCCAAAAAAGGATCTGCACTGTACTAAGTTTACCTAGATCAGCTCATTTAATCCTAATAACAAATCAAAGGGCAGGTAATCCATGTTAATATTTTACATGAGATGAAACTGAAGCATACAGAGAATAAGAAATTAGAACACCAGGGCACACGGATTGCAAATTCACTCTGGTAAATATACTCAATTATTAGAACCATTTTTATTACAAATAAGTAAATTTGAACATAAAAATTATCCCAATAAGATTTACTGTAAATAATATTTGTGTATCTAATTAAATCTTTAACTTATACTTTTATGTAAGATATTTGCCAATTTCAGCGCTGTTCAATGTTGGGATATACTTACCATGTTACATGGAAAGCCTGTCGACATCCATGTTTATTACACGTCATGCAAGCACCAGTGGCCGCTTTGCTTTCTCTTCCTTGTTCATCACAAATGTAGCAAGTCTTATGGTAGAGAAACAAACAAAAAAACAAAAATCATGGAAGTGCTTAGTATGAATCTAAATTTTACAATTATCTTCAGAAGTCAAGATCAGGTTTACTATCTAACCTACTCTGCTTCAATGAATTCCTTTTTTCCGACAGTAACCTAATTTTTGCAAACATGAAAACACTAAACAACAAACATACAGATCATAGTACTAGTAACAATTTTGCACTGCCTTACTTAGATTTGAAAAACCTGTATGTTAAGGAGACTCTTCAAAGGCACTGAGGCCAGGAGCTAATATATGATATACCATATCTCATTCTTTAAAACTTCCTCATCAATATTGAAATAATCCCTGTAAAAAATGTGTAAAAAAGAGGTTTATCTTCGTTCTCTGCTGGGATAAGCGTATATAAGGGCACTTGATACAGGAAGTTGGCCCCTAAGAGACAAAAGGCACCCCTTTATGAGTAAGGAAGATTCAGGCCACTCTATCTATCTACAAAAAATTCCCAAGGAATCCCACAAGGGCTGTCATTCTGCTTTGCCAACCTGACATGCTGGTGTAGAAGGAAGACATTTTAGCTAATAAATAGGTCAGAAATGCCCCAAAAGGTATAGATCAATGAACAATGATCCATTTCTAGGTGAAAATAGCTAATAGACAAGTACTACCTTTTAATAACTCAAAACCATGGCTGTTCATGTGATAAACGACTTAGTTACATAAATGGCAATCTATGAGTATCAGTGTATAATGAATAAAATTATCTGTTGCTAACTTTATCAGCTGCACAACATGAAGAATGTAAAAAAGTCACTGAATTATATATTAGAAAATTTTAAATTAGCAAATGTTTTGTTGCATATATTTTCACAACAAAAAAAATTATCAGTTGACTGGAAGCTGAACATACAAAAATGAATATTAGACTGCACACAATCAGGTGATACACGTCCTAAACAGAATCCAATTTCAAAACTGTATAACCAAGCCAACTTCAACAGGACTACATGCATTCTGAGAGAGATTTCATGCACTCTGCACTGTGGTACCAATAACACTATTTTGCAATATTTTACAAGGATATAGTTGCGTCCTAAAAAGCTTAATATCTAGTTGAGTAAATGATTTCAGCTCTCTTGTTGAAAAACAAGGACTGTCATACTGAATTAAATTAACAAAAATCATTTTATACCTCTAAAAAAGTAAAATCCCAAGTTACAACAAACCAACCTGGATACACAAAATAAGAAAACCTCTGTTCAAATTAAAAGAAGAAAGGATCAAACATTTATCATGGAAGAATTTAACATACATGTTTTAGCCTACAAATGATCAAGTAGATTAAAAACAAAAAAAAAGGACAAAGCAAATTGAAACAATAACATTTTATATGGCAAAATTCAGGAAAGCATTCTAAAATAACTGAACTCAAGGGGAGACATACTCTCCCCCACGAAGGAGTGACTATCACTCAATGCTCAGACTATCTATCCGCCAATGGTAGAACATGAGAGGAAGCTAGGTTCCCATGCAAGCAGTCAAGAAGAAATCAGCTAAAATTGTAACAAATTGCTGAAGTCTGACTGTGAGTTACTGTGATAGTACAGAATCACTGAGAACCACAGACAGGAGTTCAAATTTACTCAAGAGTTCTTTTCCATGGATTTTCACAAGGCATTCATAGGGAAAATTGAAGGCATGGAGACAAACCAGAAAGAACCTCCCTTGATGGTGCAGGCATGAAGGAGAGGATCAAGTACCACTGAGGGAAAGACATGAAGTCCCCTTGCCAAGACCTTTGCCAAGGACAAAGGAAAAAAATCTTTCAGCCTTGGGGAAGGCACATGTAACATGATTGATTACATCTATGTGGCCTTTCTAGCAATGGTCTTGTGGCTCCCACCCAGGTGATTGGGTGGGACTGTGTAATAATGTGGTTGTGGCCCAACAAGAGGGTTGGTCAGTTCTGCCTTAAAAGAGAGTCAATTCCAGAGCAGAGAGGAAAATTCTAGCATCACCAAGGAAGAATAGCCAGGAGCAGAGAGTGCATCCTTTGGACCCAGGATCCCTGTGCTGAGAAGCTCCTGGAAGCAGAAGACTGAGAGAGAGGCAGAGAGAGAGGAAGAGAGAGCTCGAGAGAGCGCAAGCTGTAACCCTTAAGATGGTGAGAAGTGGTGGCAGGACAGAGCCAACAGCAATAGAAGGCGTGGTTGGCTTCCCAGCCCACACAGAGAGAAAGCTTAGTGCCTCTGGGGAGAAGCCTAGGGCCAGGAAGAGGTGTGCAAGCACCAGCATGGTTTGGAAGAGGCTGTCCTGATGAAAGAAAAACTGTAACCTGAGTGTTCCTGAGCCTGAATTGTAACTGTTACTTCCCTAATAATAAACCCCATAATATGAGTATGGTCTTTACATTCCGGGTGGTCACTGCAATGAATTACTGAACCCAGCAGAGAAACAAGAGTGCTGTGTGAGGGGTGGGGAAGGAAAAATTCCTGAGCCTAGGATTTGTAACAATACTATAAGAGGTATTCCAGTGCTGGGGGAGGGGCACTAAACTCTGTTTCTCAAGACCTTCCACAGATGTAACACAGGGCCTACCAAATACTGGGGTTGGACCAAAATTACAGAGAAACTCCCAAGCCCTCACAATCAGATAACAATAACACCCTAACACTAGAAGAGGGACAAAAGTATAGTATAGGGAAGAGCAAGGTTGAACAGGTATCGCTGAAAGCTGAGGGTTGAGCACAAATATTATGAAATCCTCAAATACTCTAGCCTCTAACCTAAGCACAAGGCATGTTGTTTTTAGTTGCCATTGAGTTGACTCCAACTTATGGCGACCCCATGTGCGCAGAGCTGAACTGTTCCATAGGGTTTTCAAGGCTGTGACTTTTCAGAATTAGATCACCAGAATTAGATCAGAGGTGCCTGTTACACTAATTCAGCGCAACAACACAACTCAAAGACAGCTCAACTCCTGACTAGAATGACTCAATCCCCCACACTTAACTGCCTGAAAGAAGCATGGCCATTTCCAGGAATAAATACTATGTGCTTCAGTCTAGGGTGAGCAACTGTCCTGGTTATCCCAGGACTGCCCTGACTTTAAAACTAAAAGTCCAGGCTTGAGGAAATCCCTCAGTCCCAGGCAAACCATGACTGTTGGTCACCCTATCTTCGTCTCGCCTGTTCTACATAAGATGTCTGGCATTCAATCAAAAAATATGAGAGGCACACCCTAAAAAAAAATTCCATTGCCAGGAGACAAAGCAATCAGGAGAACCTGACCCAGAAAAGATCTGCGTGTTGGAACTATCAAACAATTACTTCAAAATAATATGATTCATATGTTGAAGGGTCTAACGCAAAATATAGACATCATGAATGAGCAGATGGTGAATTTCAGCAAAATGTTAGTGATCAAAAAAACAGCTGATAAGAAATGCTAAAAATAAAAAAAAAATGTTATCAGAGATAAGAAATTTCTTTGATGGCTCATTGACAGACTTTGACACCGCAGAGGAAAGAATAAGTGAACTTAAAGATAGGTCAACAGACAATGGATGAATGGATAAACAAAATGTGGTACAGATATACAATGGAATACTTCTCATCCAAGTAAGAGAAATGAAGTCTTGATACATGCTACAATATGGATGGAGCTAGAAGACATTATGCTGACTGAAAGAAGTCAGTCAGAAAAGGCCAAATATTTTATGAACTCACTTATATGAAAAAACAAGAACAGGCAAACGTATAGAGACCAAAGTTTCTTGTGGTTACCAGCGGCAGAAAGAAAAGGAAAGGAGGGAGTTATTGCTGGTGGGTACTGAGTTTTGATTGACAGTGATGGAAAAATTAAACTGGTTAAGGATAGGGTTGCACAGCCAATTAATGTAATTGCTGTCAATAAGTTGTACACCTGTAAAAAGCTGAACTGGCAAAAGTTCTGTGACAGATGTATTTACAAAAACGAAAAAAAGAAAAGAGTAGCTGCTGAGTCTGCTTATGTACAAACACACACCTCACGTGATCTGGTTTGGAGATTCAGGGTCCTGGTTTCATGGGACATCCTAGTTAATTGGCCTAATATCCTGTTTAAAGCTTTTATTCTAACTCCTGGTACACTGCATAGTGCCTGGGGTCAAAAGCTTCCAAGGCGCAACAATTGGTCTCTACTGCCTGGAGCAACAGAAGGAGGAGAGTCAAGAATAGGAGGAGGAAAGGGAAGGCCTGGCTAATTGCCTCTGTGAACAACTGCCTTCTTTGCCATCAGCCCAGAAAAACTGGATGGTGCCCGGCTACCACTACTGAACATTTTGATCAAAGATTCAACAGAAGGATCCTGATCAAAAGGGGGAAAAGGCAGAATAGAATTTAAAATTCTCATGGAATCCAGAATTTCTAGAGCTATGGAAAGCTGGATGAATCCCTGAAACTACTGCCCTGAGATAATCATTAAACCTTAACCAAAAATACCCCCTGAAGTCTTCTTAAAACAAAACAATAAATTTAACTAGCCTTCAGCATTGTGCTCTTTTAAGATCTATCTATGTGGGATCAAACTGACAACAGCAATTTGATCTTAGACTGGAAAAGGATTAGACAGGAAACTTAGGGGGCAATGAGTTTATGTTAATGCAGAGGAACAACTCAGAAAACGAGAGTGAGAATCGCTGCACAACTTGAAGAATGTAATCATTGTCACTGAATTATACATGTAGAAACTGTTAAATTGTTGTATGTTCTGCTGTGTATACTCTCAACAACAAAAATAATTTAAAAAAAAAGGGCAACAGAAATCACACTCCTCCCCCCACCCCAAAAAAAAAAACACACAAAAAGATTTTACAAAAACAGCACAGCATGAGAATATCAAATGATGAAACACATATTTAGAAGAACTCAGAGGCCAGGTCAACTTGAAGAGGCAGCCACTGGCTAAAGGTGGGCGATTTAAGCATCAGTAAGAAGAATAATTTCAACAGAATCAAACACATCAAA